GATCCATCTACATGCTAAGAGAACAAGAGAATATTGGAGCATGAAGGCACTGTTCACTCTGGGGTTATCAACTTGCAGAGGGAGGACTCTGGCACTATATCACTCCACGGACAAAGGTCAACCAACCAGCTTTGTTTGGATTACATTCAATTGAAAAAAAGTTAATTTGAATTCCTGTTCTCCTGTTCTAATTGCCTTAATATCAGACCACTTTTCTTATTCACATTAACTAAACTCTGTAAGCACTGGAGTTTAGGTCCTCAATTTATTCTCAATTTATACCAAGGAAACTGATGCTTGAAAGACAGACATATCCTTGAGATCAAAATATTTAAAACAGCAATGAAACTTAGAGAAAGGCAATGTGCTGTGGCTGCTAAAAGAGGCTAACAGAAGCAGAATAGGGACCTAGAGGCAGTGGCACACTTCATCCAAATCCTTCAATGGCTCATGAAAGAGTTTTAGGCATTCCCAGTAGAAGTCATGATGTGTTTGAAGATTGGCAGAGTGATTAATCTACTCATCTTCACTTCCCTGAGGTCTTTGTGAAAGGTTTTTAAAGGGGTTAAGTGCTTCAGTATTTTGGTTAAGAGTGGCTGAAGAAAATTGATGGAACTAGAGGCCACCATACTTAGTAAATAAAGCCACACTCAGAAAGTTATCATTATAATATGAGAAACCTAAAACATCAATCAATCCATTCAATAAAAAATGAATGCCAAGAAACTAGGAAACGGAAGGTGGTGAGGATTAGGGTTAGGGAGAAAAGGGAAAGGGAAAGGGTGGCAAACAGATTAATCATCATCAAGTTATGTTACCCACAATTTAAAGGAGGGAATATTTATTTTGGCTCACAGCTTCAGAAGTTTAAATCCATGGTCAGCGGACTGAAATGCAGAAATGCACAATAGAAGGGTCTCGGCAGAGGAAAGCTGATCATAGTATGGCAGCCAGGAAGCACACAGAAGGAAAGAACTGGATAGGGAGAGACAAGCATGACCCTAGAGATCAACTCTTCCATCCAGGACACAATGCTTAACAGCAAGTCAGCTGTGTGGCTCCCACAATCCAAGCACCTTTCAAAAGCCCCGCCCCTCAGCACACCAGAACTTTAGGGAAAATTCTTGATCTAAGCCATAATAATACGTTAAAGTCATTTGCTAATTTCCCAAAGTGATTCTCACCACTGTGTATTACTAACATACACTAACAAAAGAGAGATTGGCGGGGAGGACAGTACACTTAAAAACAGAGTAAATGGTGGAAGGCAGGGCACAGATAAAAATAAGTAATTCTGGTAAAGATCAGATTGAAAGGCACTGAACATGAACCACATAGCTTTTGTAAGTAGATTTAGGTTTAATTTTTTTCTTTTATTGACCAAAAGTCTTTATCAGACCTATGTTATGTCCATGTTTTCTCCCGTCCTACAGAAAGTATTTTAGATTTTTAAGTCTATTTTAAAAACATAGTTTTACATTTTGAAACAAAATTTATTAATTTTTTTTCTTTCACAGCTCATTCTTTTTTGTGTTTTTAAGAAAGCTAATCTGAGGTCGCATAGATTTTCACTATATTGAAACTAAAATAAATGGTTTTTTACTTAGTCTTCAGATTCTGTCCTTGATATTTGTTAATTTATTGACTACAAAGATTAATGGAAATGCTTTTGAATTTGTGAATTAACACTCAGCCTGTACCTCTACTCCCCAAGGTCTATGTGGCCTCCTATGTGCTAAGAGCCTTCTTCTTGAGCTTCCTGGGGCCCAAGGTTTCTTCTGTTTCACTCTCCCATTTTCCAGATGATCGTAGATTAATGAGTTTGTACCTCAGCAGTCAAGGTGATCACTGTGCTGTCTATATCATTTTCATAGAGCAAGATGACATTTGTTAAAAATTATGCCAGGCTACATTCTATAATTTTCCCATGCTTTAATTAACTCAATTCTAAAATCCCCAAGAAAGGAAAAGAAAGTTCAGGGGCCAGGCTCAATCTCCCACCTTCATTTTGGGCTATTAGACAGAACCAGAGTGACTAAAGTTTAAATCCGTTGCTCTTCCCACGGTAGTAAACTACTAAAGACCACAGTTGGAGTCATAAATGTACACATATCTTAGGAATAGCCCTGGTTGAAAAGCATGTTCTGTTTCTTGCATTAGGTGTTTCTCCAGGCTGCTCAGACTCCTGATTCAAAGGTCCTGCACTGGGACCTAGGACAGAATTCCTCAAAGGATGGCCCTGGGCCCCCAGGACAGATATCCACCCTTCCTTGCTCACAGTCTCCTAACTGGGCTGTGTAGTTTGTGTATAGCATGAGGAGGTTAAGGGCTGTTTTTGTGCCATGAGCCCGTGGGGCTGTGTGTTTTCATGGAAAAACAGGTGCTCTTTAAAAAAATTCAACCAAGGCACATATGGGCTAATGGTGGTCCTCTCTCAGGTGAAGAGGAGTAAGCCCCTAAGTTCTAGAGTAGAAACATATGATATAAAGCAGCTAAATTAATCATCACATTCTGTTCTCCTGGCCATTCCTGGCCAAACAGCTTTACATAGAGGCTCTTGTTGGAGAGGTGTGGACTTCTTTCCACATAGAGGTGAGGGATGTAGCTGTTGCAGTTATCTTATAAGTAGAATTAAAGCAATTCCCAGCAAAAATGACTCAAAACTGAAGAGAAAAGCCTATCTATTGGCTTTGTTGAGCTGTTAGTCAAGTTACCTGAGTTCAAATATACTTATGGACTGCGGAGTATCATAAACTAATAAATTCTCCTTTCTGTTGTTTGAGATTGTCTGGTTGTTAGCTGTAATAACAATGCGACCTACTTATTACATACACTCGCAACACATTCTTGATGCTTGAGCTCCTTGTCAGCCTTATGTTTTTACTATTGCATTTGTCATCTTCTTATACTGTATTCTGTACTTAGTTTATTGTCTGTCTACCTCCATTCCCATATCCTGCTGAAATGTGGTTCATGGTGGTAAAAATCTTATCTGTTTTGTTCACTGAAGGATTCCCATTTCACTGATAGTTTCCCTAAAATGAATTCTTGGCCTCTAGTATTTATTCAATAAAGATTTGTCACCTGAAACAACTACTCAGTGAATCATAAAGAATTCTTAGTTCTATAGACTCACTAGGTTTCTTTCTTTTCTTTTTCTGTGGTAGAAATTGAATCCAGGGCTTCAACCATGCTAGGCAAACACTCTACCAGTGAGCTGGACCCCTCTGTAGCCTAGTTTTCTAACTAACTCAGTGACTTGTCCAGGCTTAGGGATGTCATGATGCTCCATCTGTGCACACATACCTACAGATTACTGGCATTTTCAATTTCAGGAAGTGTTTTGTTATTACATCACTAAGATTGTGTTAAGATGGTGATAGACGTTTTTGGCATATCTACTGTTACTGTTTGGATTTTCATTTTATTTATCTCTTCCTTGCCATCTTTTTCCTTTGAAAGTACAAATGAAATGGGAAGGAAGTGTAGCCTCTGACGACCTTTATCTCTCATGTATTTATTTCTTAGTCACAAAAATTGAGAACTGCTATTCTCGGAGGCTGTTCTTGAAAGGATTTTGCCCCAGACGGGACATTGTAGTGGGCAGGAAGCTTGGAGATGGAACCAAAGGGCTCTATCTTGAGGTCACCTTTCCCGCCCCTAGGCAATTTACCTGTGACATGAAATAAATACCAATGGACCACCAGTGCATCGGTAATGGCCCTTAGGCACCACCCCAAACCTAAGCTACATGCCCCCACACCACATGTCTGGTGGAGAAAATGCCAGATCCGGGAGGATCATGGAGTCTTTCTCCACATTCTTAGAATAAAGGCCTCTTTTATTTCATACTTCTTATCTTTTTGGCCGCGCTGAAAATTCTATCAGATGGTTCCCTTCCGCGCCGAAAATTCTGTCAGTTCTTATTCATGCTTCCTTCACTTTCTCTTACTTTGTATAGGTTCTACAATAGAATCTGGTACTTATTCAGCAGGGTTCCCTGTGGCTCCTGTCAATCTGGTAGCCTCAGTTTACCTATCATTCCTATCCAGGAATCTGATACTGTCATTTGTTCCCCCAGCACAGACTTTCTCAGAATCCTCTTAGGAGCTGGTGGTTGCTATTCTGTGGAAACTGGCTATAGGCTTCAAAACAATGACTCATTTTCATAGGCCTCATCACTCATTTTCACTACATCTGAAATCTCATCTTGAAGATATTTATCTTTTTTTTGATAATCTTGGGGAGATGCAGTACATTATTTTTTACATTTTCCTCTTTGACCACCAAAAGAGCTGTTCTGCATTTCCCTTTCTTTACTGAACCCTTCTTTTAGCCAGAACTGAACAGCCAATCTTTCTTAGACTGCTGAGATGGCAAAAGACTTCTCAGATTAGGGAGGAAGACTGTGTTTAAAGACTGGTTGGTCACACAATGGGTGATGAACCAAATGGCCATTCACTCAGCACAACTCAGCCCAGCAGCCACCTGGCCTCTCCTCTCACGTAGCTTTTTTTTCTATGAAATGTGGTCAGGCTGAAGCAATGCTTTCTATAATCATCAAGTCCTTACTTTTCTTCTTTCTCTGTCATGCATTTCATGACCTGAGGGAACACAAATTTGTTTGAAGGCACAGGAACCCTCCAATTATTGGAGCAGCCACACAATAAGGAGTCTCAAATCTCAAGCCAAGAGAACCCAGCAAGGACATACAGGTTTTTAATGGCAGTAAGAAATGATTCTCTGGACCCCATGTCAGATACTACACCAGCTGTGATAGTCATCTCCTTTCCCAAGTGGAGCAATACTAACAATTATATAATACCTCACTCATTGAACTATTCTCCGAGTCTGGGAAGTATGTCACTCTCCTCTCTCCTCTCTCCTCTGTTCAAACAAAGGCTGCGTCCAGGGAGACAGGAAGCAGAAATGGGAGAAAGATGAGTGTTATTTTTGAGTCTTGGTTTGCCTTTCTGCTTCTGAATTGAAACAATGCAACCTCCAGAGGATATGATTATTTATTGTAAGTCTAATAGGGACTCTATTGGTGAATATTCCCATGGCCAAAGGAGGTGCTGACAAATAGCTGAGGGGGAGGATGCGAGCAATGGAGAGAAGGCAGAAGGTGCAGAAGTGGACAGGAGTAGAAACTCATTCTTGCGTTTCTACTTCCTGCCTTCACACCTTTACGCCTATGGCTAAAACACAGCTGTTTTTCGTCAGTGGCATGCACTTCTAGTCTTCTTGAGACAGCAGGGATAGGTGGAGGAAAGTATGTGGTAGAAATAATTGTGAGGTGAAAACATCACAAGTCACTAGCATACCAATGCTGAGAGATTTTCTCTAAACCTATAGAAGTCAGTAAAACAGAAGCCTCATCATTCCTTTCTGCTGCATTTACTTTCTGGAAAAGTGGCCCAAGGATTAGCAGAATCTTGATTCTTGCTCTATGGTTGATATTTGCACAGGAAGTGCTGGAGTTTATTGCAGTCATTTTTGTTCCAAGCTAAAAACTCTGTAAGAAAATAAACAGATATTGAAATCATTCAGTTCAGTACTGAGCTTACCAGAGTTATCTGATTATTTTGCTTGGGGTCATGGGTAAGATAAAGTGATAGTTACGTTGTGTGTCAGTCTGGCTAGTTACAATACCCAGTTGTTTGGGTATCATAGATGTCTAGCAGTTGCTAGTTATCTAGAACTCTAGATCCCACTGTGAAGGTATTTTTTAGATACGGTTGACATTTGCATCAGCACACTCTGAATAAAATGGATTACCTTCTATAATATGTATGGACCTTGTCTAATGAGTTGGAGGCCTTAAGAGAAAAGTCTGAAGTCCCTACAGCAAAAAGGATTCTGCCCCTAGTCTGCCTTTGGACTCAAGACTGCAAAATCAACTCTTCTAGTAATGTCCAGCCTGCTGGTCTGCTCTGTGGACTTCAGACTTGCCAGCCCACAAATGCATAAGTCAATTCTTAAAAATCAATTCCCTCCCTTTCCCCCTCATTCTGTTATTTCTATTTCTCTGGAGAAACCAGATAACACAAATTCTAACTTAACAAACAGAAAGAAAAATCATTTAAATATCATGTCCAATTGTACAAGCTCCACTCCAGCATGCTTTGGAGGAAAACAGGGTTTGACATGAATTTACTAAACACAAGCGAGTCTCTTTGTTTGAAACAGGTTACAGGGAGGGCCTGGGGAATGAGCTTTCCTAAAGTTCGCAGCTGAGCTTTAACAAGTTCCTGCTCAAAGTTCAAAGCAGCTGAAGTCAATCATGTCCAAACAGGGCACCTATTTATAAAGAATGGCTGATCCAGGAAGGACTGGCCTATTTTTGAGGAAAGGCTAAACTATTTCTCTTCCCAAAATCAAGTTCCTTAGAATAATTTTTTGTCCAGGGGTGTCCACAGCAGAGCTTAGAGTCCTTCCCCAGTCGAGTGTTTGCTTGGGCTTTGAACTGCAAATTTGGCCCTGTGGCTAATGTGTGCTAAGGTGTATGGAAATACCCAGGAAGAGGAAATGATATACCTCCTTCTAGTTCTCAAGAGGCACAGAGGATGTTGCTACACATGCTCTGATCCATGGATAGATCTGATCAGAGCTGGATTCACACAATGTAAATGAACTGGGAACTAAAGACGTGTTGCTACTTCACAGAGTGAAAGCCAAGAGAACACACCCAATGTTGCTACTGTATTCTGGATCCTTTCTTGAGAGACAGTCTTATTGTGTCTGCTTTGGCTTATCACTGATTAGGGTACTGTTTGGGTCTGAGTGTCTCCTAGCTGGGCCATTCAAAGTTCCATCCACAGAGCAAACCAGAACAAGGCCAGTTTGCCCCAAGGCAACCACACAGACCAGTGCTCACTCTACTCCTCCCTGATACCTCGCTGGCACTGGTGGAAGCTTTTCACGTGGATAAGGATGACTGAAATAGTCATTTCTCTCTTTTCATAGAGAGGCATCTAAGACACAGAGAAGTAAAAAAAATCTACAGATGGCCACACAGCTCAGGTAGGGAGATAAGTTGGAAATTCTGCCACAAACTAGATTGAGCATGACATTTCTTCTTACACTGCCAAACTTCATTTATTATTAAATGTTCCAAAGTGAACCAGTGGTAAGTCACAAAACACCATGAATCCTAAAAGTTACATTGCAATGTACGGTAGAATTCTAGAGGGTAGGAGAAAAACACATAGAGTAAAAGGCTTTTTAATAGGAATTAAAAGGCAACAAGCCCTGTGGCATAGAGACAAGTTCATGTAGGACTTTACCTTGAGGTAAAAATATTAGACCTTTTGAATTTAAAAAAAAATTAGCAAGAACTTTGTTAGAGCTCAACTTGGAAAAATCATCCCAGACCCTCTTTGCAACACTCTGGAGAAACAATCCATTCTACAAATATATGATAACATTGATGGGGCCAAGGATAAGTTTCCATTAAACTCTACCCTACTCTAGTTTGTCTCTAAGACTTGATTCCTTTCTGATGTTTTTCTGCCTTGAGAGCCCACATTCTAATAACTGTGAGCTGGTGAATAAAGGCAGGGAAGAGTTGGGCTCTCAAGGAACTGTTAGGCATCTGGTTTCAATCAACACAACTGAAACTCCTTCACCATAATCACTGTGCTGATCTGCTCATGAACTGACAGGGAAAGGGCTCTTTTCTGAGAACCCTGTCCACTGGAAACCTTGGAATCACTGGGATAGGAGAGGCTTTGGGAGGCACCCAGGCTGCTGCTTCCTGAAAGCTGATCTGCTTTTTGCCCACAGACTCTTACATTGGAGGTCTGAAGTGAATCCCTGGAATTTGTATTTTTAAAATATTTCTTTTAGTCTTGTTGTGTTATAGTGTCTTCAAACACTTTAAATGCTTCAACTAATAATAAAAAAATACTGCAATGTCAGCTTGGCATGGTGTTGCACACCTATAATCTCAGCACTATGGGAGATTGAAGTGGGAGGGTCACAAATCCATGCCCAACTTGGATGATTCAGCAGCTTACAAGACCATCTTAAAAAGGAAAATGATTTTCTCATTTATTTTCTTTTATTTTTAATTAATTGTTTGTTTATTTATTTTTGGCTTTTGAGATAGGGCTATGTAGTCAGACTGGCTTTGAAAAGTAAAAAGTTTTTAAAAAGACCTGGGAAATGTAGTTCAGTGCAAAGTCTCTACCTTAATTCAATTCTCAGTATTGCAAAAAACAAACAGAACAAAATGACTATAAAATGTCTACCTTTTGTTGGATTGACTCTAGTGATAAGTTTCTCACTACTCTCTAGGGTAGCCTGTTAAGCATTGAGACAATGCTAACTGTCCAGTCTTTTCCTTGAACTAGACAGACACCCACATTTTGCACACTTCTATCTAATGGCCCTGGCTGTGTTCCTCCTAGCTGAACTGACACACGACTTTCCCAACAGCAGTGTGGTTCGCTGTTGGCCTGTGAAAATCCTTTCAGCTCTTCGTCTTGAAGGTCTTCCTCAAGGTTGGCCCTTCCTGTCCCTTTTGTTTTTGTTTGTTTGTTTTAATTTTAAAGCGAGAAAAAATAAAAACAGTGATACCAAATTTCAAAACAGGGTAATAGGAAATTGGCAATGATTACTATATTACACATTGTTGTCTTCAAAGCAGTTGCTCAGATACAAAATATAAGCATCCAAAATTGATCAACCAATTTAAACACAGACTGATCTTTTCAATGAACTAAAGGGAATGACTAGTATAATTATGTTAGCTACCTTATTTATTTATTTATTTTCTTTTTCCTGTGCTTCTTTTTTTCCTTTCCCCCATCCCAGCTGTTCTTTCCATTTGGGTAGTTTCTTTCCCTTTTTCAATATCCATTGCAAATTTTGTATCTTATTTATTCTTTTAGTTCCTTACACTAGGGAGACAAGATGATGTTTACATATGTGAGTTTGATTTATTCACTTATGAGTTATGGACTCTAGTTGTATACATTTACCTTTAAAAGCCTCAAGTTTATTCTTCTTTATAGCTAAGTAGTACTACATCATATAAAAATACCACATTTTTTTCATTCATTCTTCAGTTGATGGGCATTTGGGTTATTTCCAAGATTTGACTATTACAAATTGTGTTGCTATAAACACAAATGCACATATAGCACGCTGGTATGATGTTAACTCTTCTGAGAAAATACTCAGAATGGAATAGCTGGGTCAAATAGGAATTTTAATCTTAGTTTTTTGAGGAACCTCCACACTGATTTCCACAGTAGTCGCACTCAGTCTATATTCCCACCAACAGTGGAGCACCCATCTCCTCTTGCTGTTAAATAGTTTTCTCTCCTTTATTTTTCTTACAAGCTCAGACAATAGTAAACTGGAGTCAGTGGTCCCTCTCTCCTCCTGAGCCAGTTCCTGAGTCCCTGATCAGACCCTGCGCCAGCACAATTTTTGGCTAGCATACAAATCCAGTGTCACCAGGATGGTATTTTATTCTTGCTGGGATATCATCAAATGTACAATTGTTGACATCAAGTTATCTCTTCATCTCTAACAATCTATGTTCTTGTTTTATAGATAAAATCTTTCACATCATTTATTAATGCTGCTCAATGGCTATTAAATGATGTCTGTAGTAAAGTCACTGTTCTGTAGAAGGACAGAGTTGCTGGCATAATAACAGAGTGGAGGAAAGAGTGTGAGGATGTCTACTTTTGCTCTTGGTGGGTCAAGGGAAAAGGTGAGATTTAGAAGGGGGAGGGAGGGCATGAGAACTTACTTTTTTTGTAGCTCATCTCAGCACAGTGCTTGTGCTCACCAGAAGTCCCATTATTCAAGAACCCCTTCAGGTATGGGGTTCCATCAAGCCACTGCCATAGTTCCTTCTACGGTAGCAGGAAATAAGAGATCTGTGCAGATCAATTAGCTACCCTGACCACAACCACCACCGTCCTTCAGCCCTTAAAAATGGAATTTTCACTGTAAAAACTAAGAAAAGGTAGTGATATAATAAAGAAAAATATTAGAAAAGACACTCCATTTAATAACTAAGCAGAAAAATTATAGATATTTTAGCATGTCTATTTCTGGTATAAATTTGGGGGTTTGTTTTTGTTTTTTGTCTTTATTACTGGGCATTGAACCCAGAGCTATACCCCTGATCTACTTTCCTGGCCCACTCTTTCTTTTGAGAGAGGAGCTTACTAAGTCACTAAATTGCTCAGGCTGGAGTCAAACTCACAGGGCTCCTGCTTTGGCCTCCCAGATGCCGGGATACAGGCCTGCCCCAACAAGTCTGGCTTGATATAAACTGCTTATGAATAGTTACATTTTTAGGTACTAGTAAGTATTGTTATTACTGAAATGTGTACTCAATTTGCACCTTGTTTTGCATAAACTTTCTTTTAATGGTAATATTATATAATGATTTATCTTATAATTATACTACTGATAGTTACGTATTTTTCTAATTTACGCTATTATAAAAAATACTAATGAACAGTTTTGTTCAAAAGTCAGTTTGGGTACTTAAAATTATTTCCTTATGATACAATTACAATTACAGAAGTAGAATGAATGGATTAAAAGATATTAATATTTTGATGTTATTAATATGCATTGCCAAAGCACTTTCCAAAAGCAATTCAGTTGTAGAGTTTTATAACCTCATCAATTGGCACAATTTCTTCATTCCTTAAAAATGTTACTTCTTATGACAAAGTAACAGTTTCATAATCTGATAAATCAAATTATATCATTTTAATTTGCATCTCTTTGATTACTAGAGACACTGAAAAATCTTTAGAATGTTTACAAGCCATTTATTTGCCTTAGTCAAGAATATAAAAATCAAACTACACAAACATCTTATAGAAATAGATGTACACTCCTATCTCTGAATGACAGAGTTATGATTATGTCAGCACATAAAAACGTAAAATATCTGATGGTCAAATAAATATCATTAAAAGCCAAATAACTGTGTAAAATATTTGTAACAATGATGGTAGATGATTGTAACTTAGCTGTATTTTTAAGAAGTCAAAACTATGAAGATACTTATGGGTAAGCACTAAAATATACTATTCATGACAGATAGTGTATAAATCTGTGGTATCTTCAGCAATATTATCAAGGTACAGAAAACACTGGGACCCTCTCCTGTCTTCTCTGTATTAGTCTACGAGCTCCACAAAGCATCTAGAAGCTACAGACCTCAGCAACCAGCACATCTTACAAAGACCTCATGTATATACATTCCTGTGAGGGAGTGATGGGAAATACAGTGAGATCCTAGTGGGAAAAAATTAAAGATAATAAAGATAGTAACATCACGAGGGGAAAAGATAGCTGAAAGCTTTCAACTTTAACTCAAGACCTAATAGGAATTTAATTTATCTGAATCTCATAACAGGGCTACACTCACTCACACACACACACACACACACACACACACACACAAATTTATTATTTAGTTTCTGGAAGACTGGAAAGTTGGCAATTTTGTGTCCCAAGATTTTAAAGAAAATTAATTCAAATGAAGGTCTATACAGCTTAAATTATGTTCTTCACTGAAGTAAACTGGGAAGCCATTTCCCAAAAAGGGGCTCTCATCCTGGACTTGCCAAAGGGCATTTGTGAGCCAAATTTGGGGTTACCTGCTGTGGATCATGCAGGCCAATCCATACGGGCTGGTTTCTTTGATAGCCACTTATGTACTTTGATATGACGCTGGCTTCCTTATGACTCAGGACAGATGCCAGATGGGTTCCATATCCATATGATTGACACTCAATCTGCACAAAGGAGGGGTCCCATTAATGATGCTACAAGGCTGCAACGGACAACCTTGGAACCTGGTGTGCTAAGCAGAATGGGCTAACAGAGTTTCTCCTTCTCTAGAACTTGGGTCCCTCAGGAGATATCTGTTACCATGAAAGGCGACACAGTCCATAAGGTGTGCTCTTGGAGAAAGAGGGAGCTCAAGGTGAGAGCAAGTCATTTAGGGTCAGAGGAAGAGCCTGGAGTTCTGAGCCTGCTACCTATTAGTGTATGTGACCTTGACCACAAGTTACTTTACCTGAAGCTGATTACAGGGTCTTGGAAATGACTTTGCTTAGTCTCTCCCCCTTTCCCTGTCTGTCTGTCTGGTTCTCTCTCTCTCTCTCTCTCTCTCTCTCTCTCTCTCTCTCTCTCTCTCTCTCTCTGTCTTCTCAGGACTAAGCTCACGAAAGCAGTATATAGGGCAAGCTTCCCTGGATTTTTTCTGCTAGTTGCTCTTGGAAAACTCATTTATGATCATGCTATATGGAAATTTTCTATTTGAATGTCACAGTCTAGCATTTGTCTTACACTTCTCGAATCCTCAGTAGCAATCACATGGTAGATGCTCCATCCTTGACTTTTTCCTTTTTCTTTATTGAGTTATACACAAGGGTTCTGACACTATTCCTGGCCTGGGTTATCACACTTACATGGCTCCCCCAATTAGTTGCATCTGTTAATCACAATTCAGAGACAGCAGCATTGACTCTCTACTTCTTTGGGTTGCCTACTTTGCATGCCTTAGACAATGCCTCAGTGAACTGAAGCCACATATCTATGGGTTGTGTGGCCCACTGAGCCTCCCATTTGTTTGACTTCTTCACTTTCTATGAAGTAGTCCTGAGGCCTCTCCGACAGGCCTAACTGTACATTACTCTCTTTCTAGCATATGTTATAGAGGAATTCAATTATTCTTTTCATAAGCTGTTATTTCCTCATTCTCCTTTGATCTACATATCTCTAGGATGTGTAGGACAGTAGCTGTTGCTTATTTATCCTTATGTCATGACAGTCATAGAGCTTGGGCACGTAGTATCTACTTCAATAGTGCTTACAAAACAGAATGAGTTGGATACACAACCCTCTTCTCTGCTTTTCACCAGCAAGGCAGTCCTCCTAGGAATGCTAACAAAGAACCATTGACTGTGTATCAGATGAGTTCTGGGGCTCTTGTTGACCTTATGCTACACAGCAGCAAACTGGTCCAGTTGCTTACCTCAGCATCAAACCAGGTCCTCGGCCTCCAGAAGTATCCATAGCAATTGGATTTGTAGTAAAACCATCCAGGAGCACAGCTGGGTCTCCAGATATCTGTGCATTAACAAAAGACAATTTCAAGTTATGGTGGTAAAACAATCAATGTTCACACTGTGTACATCCTAGAAATACAAAACCTTTGAATGAAGGTCAGCAAAGACCTTGCTGCATTACCAAAAATTTACACTGTTAATATTTCCTCCAACCTTCCTCAAAGAGATCTAAGGCCTTTTACCAGGGTTTTTGTGCTTTGGGGAAAAAGGAAATAATCAAAGCTTCCTGGGGGCTTCTGGATACTGGTTTTCAATTGATGCTGATTCCAGCAGACCTGTAATACCACAGTGGTCCTGCTGTCCGATGAAGGATTATGGAGGTTACATGTTCACTAGAATTGTAGCTCAGGTCTACCTTACAGTAGATACCCTGAACCCATCTGTGGTGAATCAACTGTGGTTATGTCCCCAGTTCTGGAATGCATAACTTGAGAAGACAAACTTAGCATCAGGCAGAATCTAACATTATAGAAGTAAAGGCCAAACAATCATAATTCAAGTCAACGTAAAAGTGGCCCAGAGCAACAAACTGGTAGTTTTCAGCATTAGTAGGAGGAAGCAGTCCTTTTAGCAGGGTGTATGGAACAGGTTCAATGGAAAGTTGGCTGAAATGTGAGCACAAGTGTGCTGAGTATCAGTAGCAAGAAGGGACACTTTAGGAAAAAGATACAGGCTGCGCAGCAGAGGGAAGGCAGGAATGTGCAAAGGATGCACAGAAATAACAAACACAAGTTTGCGCCAAGTAGAAAAGACTTGTCATGAAACCATGGTAGATAGGAATAAGAAGAGCCTACAAGCAAAAAAAAAAACCAAAACCATGATTCAGGGCTTGTTCTTCCCCTTAGTCAGCTGGTGAATGGCCCATGCCACTGGATCTGAAGGTGTGTGCAGGAAGGCTGCCAGTACAGAGGGGCTAGATGATAAAGGGGATGCCAAGCTAACAGTTCAAACTCTTGACACTGTGGCCACACTCGCACACTTTAGATGGGTGCAAGAGTCTTTCCTTTCACAGTGTGTCCACAGACCTGAGCCATCATGATAGCATTCCTCTCTCCCCATCACTTGTTTTCTTTTGTTTCATCGCTTGCCTCTAAATCATTCTCAACTCCTCGCTGAGTTCAGATAAGCTCCCTGCTCGTTAGAACCAAGAGCTTTCTCAGTCTGATCTTATGCCTACCTTGTCACCTCTTTCTAAGCAGCAGGCCCAACTCAGATTTAGCAAATGTTGCTCACTATAGATTTAGATCCTTTTCATGTACCTGTGGATGACAGAGAATCACTAAAGCAGCTAAAAAGTTGAAGTAAAGATTTTGAGAGGTGCCTAAGGATATACTGAAGTCAAGTGCCAAAGATATGTCCTTATTTAAATGTCTTATCTGCTACTTTTAGAAAAATGAACATAATTTTATTTTAAAATAGAAAGCCTTTCTGCCAGTGCTACTCTTACTAGCTGTATATCAGCTTCCATACCGAAGGCATTTACTTAGTGTCATTTACCATGCTAAGTGATTTATCATGTTATGTTTTTGTCATAATAATTTAGGAAAGTTAGGAAACAGGCTAAAGAATAACCTACCCAAAGTCACACTGCAGAATAAGAAAGCTGTTTTTTAGATCCAGTTCTATGGCTTAAAAATTCATGTTGCTGCCAACAGCACTCCCAATCTTAGATTTTATAAATACACAAACTAAGAAATTAGAAATTAGCAACAAAAACAGTTAGTGGCTATTTTAACAGAAGGAAAGGAAGGAAAGGAGATTCTTACTCTTGCAGTAAAAACTGATCTTTTTAAGGAGACTGACCATTGATTACCATTCCAAATGGGCTCAAATTCTAGGAAGGGGTCATCTGGAGAGACATTAGGAAAGAGGATTTCTAATTTAACACTCATTAGAATGTTCTGAAAGTACGGGTAGTGAGAAATCCAAACCTTTGACCCTAAGTCTAAGGACAAAGAGCCCTGTCATCACACATCACCCAGTACTCTCGGTGCCCTTCAATCTGAATTGCTCCTGTGGATTCTCTACTCAGCATTCCCTGGGCAAATGCACCAGGACAGACCCTCACCACCATAGCCTTCATCTGCCCTGACTCCAGGCAGTGACAACATAAGTAATAAGACCCAAAATCCAGAGGAGCTGAGGACAAAGAAGACCTGAGATTATGCTTCAGGCTGGACCACCAGTGATCTCTCCCCCTCCCACATCTTTCCCTTTGTATGACTCCATTTCTTTGAGGGATTTCTTGTCTGTCTCTAAAGATCTCTGCTCACCTCTGTGTGTATGCATCTCCACTCTTCCTGGCTCTGTATCAACTTCTCTCTTGCTGTCTTCCCACTGTCTCTTTTGTTTGTCTTTGTGTTTAGAAGTGTCATTCTTATGACTCTATCTATGTCTCTGCCTCTTTTCCAATTTCCTCCTTTCTCTATGTTTCCTCTCACTTTGGCCCAGGTCTTACAGTTGAGACTGTTCACCCTCTGGTGGAGATACTTAAATTCTTGGAAATGCAACTCGATGCTGCTCTGCTGGGGCCCTATGCACCTCCTGTCACTCCACACATCTCCTGTGTACCAGGTATCATTCCTGGAAGATGACGTATATTTCAGTCATTTCCATAATAACCCTTTAGAAGTAGGTACCCATGTTTCCCCCTTGTTCCAGATGAGGAAACAAATGCAAAAGAATATGTCATGTCCCACAGCTAAGAAGTGGATGGATACAATATTTAAGCCCAGACAATCTGACTCCATGTAGTAGTTTTTAGTCATCTCAATCATCATCCTCAAGCTATTTCTTTTAAAACCCAGGAGAGCGAATCAGATTTAATCAAGTTTCCTTGTTTAATTACCAGACTCCCTGAGAGTTAAAGATGGATATCCCTATTGTACAGGTAGAGAAACTTCCTGTGAAAGGTAAGTGACCAGCTGAAGTCATCAGATGGAAATTAGATTTTTCTGGAGGGGGACCTAGTGCTTTCTCCAAAGCCTGGAGTCCCAGCCCCACCTCTCAGGGTGCGGGAGCTCCTCATCACTATGCATGCAGTGTCAAGAGGCTTCAGCCCTTTGATTTAGGCCTCTGTTACTCTAACAGCTCTTCTGCTCCATGACTTAGCAGTGTTTAAGCTTGGGAACATTATTTAACTTTCTTTAGCTGAAGTTTTCTTCTTTGTACTACAATGGGACTAACAATATGCATCTTTTTCATAGGATTACCTGGAAGAATTTTCTGGAATAAGGCATATAGAGTGGTTTTTGGTTTTTTTGTTTTGTTTTGTTTTTTGGTTTTTTTTTTTTTTTTTTTTTTTTTTTTTTTTTTTTGCTGTTGGTGTTATTTTTTGTTTGTTTGGTTGGGGGTTTTATTTTTTGTTTTTTTACTTTCTGAGACAAGGTCTTACTCTGCACTTCAGGCTGGCCTCGAGCTCACTTTGTAGCCCAGGCTGGTCCCGAACTCACAATGATCCTCTTGCCTCAGCCCCCTGAGTGCTGGGATTATAGGCATGTGCCATCCTGCACAGCTTACAGTGATTAAAACAGAACCAACTATAGTAAATAATACCAAGTTAAAAATGTATCTACCAAGTCATCACTATTCTTACTGTAACACGTGCAATATTTTTTAAAATATTAGCCTGAAGTTTTTTGTTGTCCAGAAAGTGTACTGCTCCACATCTCTTTGCTCATGGAACTGATGGCATGGCCAGGGGATTTAGCTCAGTGCCTTAAGTGCCTGCCTGAACTGATGGCATGCATTGCTCAGGAATGGTAGCCATAAGTCAAGCAAGAAATCACTGTGGAGGCAAGATTTGTTTTGTTTTGTTTTTGGTACTGGGGATCCATGACCTCACACTCGCCAGGCAGGCGCTTAAGTCACTGAGCTAAATACCCAGCCCCAAGAAGAGTCATAATGTTGAGGGTCAAGTCTTGTCAAGAAAAACAATTAATTTCTAAATTCTTGTACTTAAGAATTGTACTTCTGGTGACGATATAAGTATGAGGCTGAGGGCAGACAGATACAACAGACAATTTCATATTGATTTTTTCATAAGCTTCAGCACAAAGAATATGTAGGTTGTGTTATATAGGTGATCTCCCAAGATATGAGAATAAACAAAATGTCTTTCTCCAGTGCTGAGAAGAAGAACTGTCTGAAAAGAGGCAATGCAAAGTTCATGTTGCATGTGCTGGCCAGAGGTTGGTGAAATCTCAGAGTGGGAGAGAGGCTTGTCATTCCCTATTGTATTAGTGGAGCCCCTGTAAGGAAGTCTGAGGTCATCTCAGAACCACAGGGGCAGGAGACCCATTGGCCACCTGGCCTCAGGATGCAGTTCTAAAGGAGGGGTTTGGGAAGCCTCTCAGAGTCTTGCAAGTCTTGCATCTTTCAGCAACAGCAGCAGGTTTCCAGAGCCTTAACAGCCATACATGGTGTGAGGGACCTATGTAAGTTGCACGTAGGTGTGAGGTTGAGGGCAGAGATGCACAAAGGACAAGGATATGCTAAGGGAACACTACTGCAAGGATCACAGTCTTCATATGTGGGGATCGACTTGATGCCCAAAGAACCTGTTTGTCCTTGAATGTCTTTCTGTTGGATCATCCTCTCAGCCAAGGACACTTCCCAGTGGGAGAAGAGCTAATTTACAAGCAGCACTGAATCACTTAGGAGCCTCTGTGCTCAGCAGGAGCAATGCTCAAGCAAGGATATTTGTTTTCAGCATGCTTTGTTTTCTTCTGCTGCTGTTTCCAACAGGAGATTCTATATCTTTTCCGCTTTGATAGGATGCTGCTCTATACTTGATAGTGTTGGTACATCTGTCAGGACCATTTCTCCAAGTAGGCCGCAATTGAAAAACTGGAATTCTTGACATGCCCAAATAGGAAAATAGTGCCTGAATATTTGGATGTTTTGGTTATATCTATCATTAATTGACAGTTGGCTAACTGTTGAGTAGCTTAAACTGCAGTAAACTTTCAAAATTAATTATATAATTTATATATTATTGATTATGTAAGCATGGCTTACAATTCTGTGCCATTGGCTTTTGTTTGATTCTACAACCTTTGAACTCTTTACCACATTATGCTGTCTTTCATTCCCATCTTCAGTCCCTATTTCCTGCAGTGCATAGTGGATTTTTGTTGTTGATATGATTGTTTGGTTGTTTTTTGCTTTGTTTTGTTTTGGATTTTTGGTGAGGGGTTGGCTGAGTCAAAGTCACATAGATTTTGCAATCACTGATCATGGCTTCCATCTCCACTAGGTGACATACTCACCACCGTGGGCTTTAGGTCTGGCTACCCAACTCAGCAGGAGGAAAAAGCACCAGCCTTTGGATGCCATCTTCCTGCTCTCCTGAAGCTGCGCTGCAGACGCCTTGGCTCCAAGGAGCTGAGTCCTTGTTAATTTTGTCTTTGAAACTTCTGGTTTCTCCTGGACCTGTAATCTGAATATATCTACATTACTGAGAAGGACCCAGAAATTTAGACACAAAATTACACAGGGAGAAAAAAAAATGTTTTCTGGCTATATCCAGATCTTACAGCGAAGAGAATATTAAGTTTAATGTAAATATTAACAAAATTTAATTTACACAGTTTTATTCTCACCTGAAAATCCACTGGACCAGACCAGAGAGGTTACTACAGCACGCTCAACAGTTTAATAGTCTGAATGGACACATACATTTCTAAACTAGAAGCCAGCCAGCTCTGGTGTTTTCAGGAGACCCAGTGAAGTCACCAGGCTTAGCTTCCTCCTGGATCAGGTTGTGATGGACTTTCTGAAGTGAAGAAAGTCAAATCAAGAGGCTTTAACATTGAATTTTTTAATGTCATTCAGAGTGAATACATAGCCTAAGGCTCACATTTCACAGATTAGAAACTGATTTGAATGGGGGTGAACTTGTTTTCTCGCTGTCACCAGCTACAGCCAGACTTGATGTCAGCACATTATACTTAGTTGATAGCACATTTTCCCTTTTTTGGAAAATAACCTTGTAATATCGGAGAACAAAGAACCCTCAGCTCTTCCATCTTTCTGAAGCTCCCTTCTTTGGTTTAAGAGTGTAGCTGTCTCTCCTCCTCTCTCCCCATTTCCAATAGTGTCCAGCACAATGTCTCCCTTTCCTTAAAAAATAGCTTTATTATCTTTTCCTCATTATAAAACATGGACTATCAAAAGACCAATTCAAAATTAGAAAATAAGAAATAAACCCACCACACATAATTAGAAACCAAGTAGTAAATCCACCAATTATCAACCTCAGGTAATGCAGTGGACAGCCTGCGGGCAGCTGTCTACGTATGTCTAGTGCACAATTTGTATAAATTATTGCTTTCATATTGTTTTGTAGGGGCTGGGGATTTAGCTCAGTGACATAAGCACCTGCCTTGCAAGGATGCAGTTGTGAATTTGATCCCTAGTACTGATTTAAAAAAAAAAAAAGATCATATTGTAAAGTAGTTTTGTAGTCAGAAACAGATTGTAATAAACTTTGTTGCATTCACATTTCTTAATGCAAATTTGATTCTCTCTTTTGTATAAATTCACTTACACAGGGTTATAGTCACAGAAATGACAGGCTGTACTTTTTAAGCCCTTTGCTAAAATACTTTCTGAAAGACTTTATCAAACATTAAAACTGTTAAGGAGTACTACTTTCTCCAAGCACCCCGTGCATGCCTAATTTTGTCTTCGGTCTTTTTTTTTTTTTTTTTCTGCTGTGATAGGTTAAAGAAGAACATTAGTATTTTGTTAGTATCTTAAAATTACTAATGAAGTTGAACAAATTCACTAGTCTTTCATTTTTTTGTGAATTTTCGCTTTTCAGCTTTGCACATTTTTCTGCTTCATTTTTTCTAAATGATTTATGAGACCTTTTATAAGTTATGTCTTGTACTAGTATTTCTCAGTTTCTATTTTTCTCTTATTCATAGTATATTTTTTAACATTCTGAAATTTTCAAAAATTACATGGTTGCACATATGATCTCATAATTTTTGAAATTTATTTCAGAAGGACTAACCACCACTGTTGCAAAAGGTTAAAATATTCACCTATAGGGGCTGGGGATTTAGCTCAGCGGCATAAGCACCTGCCTTGCAAGCAGGCAGTTGTGAGTTTGATCCCTGGTACCGATAAAAAGGAAAAAGACCAAAAAAAAAAAAAAATATATATATATATATATATATATATATATATATATATATATTTACCTATATTCCCGTCTGTTTTATCTATCTGAGATTTATTTTAGTATAAGCATTGAATTAGGTTCTAGATTTTCTTGTCAAATAATTACTTCAATGATCAATTCATTGACTTCTGATTTGACCATGCCTTATGATTAAAAATCAGGATTACATGGTCTAACTCTCAAATAACAGGAGTTTAGGGGAAACGGTGCGATTTAATATTTGAAAAGCAAATTCTCTTGGAAAATCTACTCTGGAGTGCATCTGAGCACTTTTCAGTAATAACAAAGGAGAGAACAGAGTGGAGGTGCGGAGCTGTGGTGCCTCCAAACCCCTCTTTTACTTTTAATCATTGCCTGAACACTGCACTGCTTTGCTGAACTTTCCTTCCAAAACTAATGTGGTATTTTTAATTTTTAAAACCTTTTAAAATGTAAATAGGTATAAATCATTTGTCATGTTATCTGGGAAAAGCGAGGTATAGGATTTTTCCATTAACCAAGATTCATTTTAAACATTCAGGGAAGGCTTACCTCATCGGGTTTCACCCCCACAACGAGGCTCATTATAATATCATTTACTTATTTCACAGCTGACGGTCCTTGACATAAAATAATCTTTCCAGAGTTTCACAGCTACCAGACTGCAGATCTATGATTCAACCCAAGACCACTGCTTTTTATCACAGGAGAAGAAAGAAAATAACTAATTCAAATCAAACGACACAGTGATAAAAAGAATCAGTAACATTATTATAACTTTAGCTTATAATTTCTGACCCAGGTATTAACTGGCCACGGAGAACAGATGTTCACAGAAAGCTCTCTGCTCCCAGCTGCAGAAGAATTACCTGGATGGAAGCAAGGCTCTGAAGACCTCTCCTTCATCAGCGTCTCAAGTGGTCCCGGGCAGTGTTGGGAACTCTTATACCTTTGTGCTTCAGGATTCAATAACCATTGTTTAAACCATGAAGCAATAATGTTAATTACCAAGGATAAGTCTTATCTACAAAAAAAAAAAAAAAAAAAAAAAAACCTTCAAGTGATGGCTTGGGAATAGATGCAAGTTGTGCTTTGAATCCAGGAAAAGAACCTCTCCCTGTGTGTAAACAGAATCTTACTTTTATATCCCAGCTTACTGAAATCAATATCCTGTAATCTTCTATCAACCAATCTTCCTCTCCCTCAGCTTCACTTTTTTTGCTCTCTCTCTCTCTCTCTCTCTCTCTCTCTCTCTCTCTCTCTCATCTCTCTCTCTCAGATGCTTCAATTCTGAAGAATTATGCTCCTCTTATTCTTGCAGACAGGACTCACTGTCAAGGCTGGGCACAGGCTCTGACCCTTGTGGCCTGACTTGAGGTCCACATACACTTTCCTCCTTAAAGCATCAAACTGGTCTCCCCTACAGGGGGCCTCAGGTTCTTGAGACTTTCTTTAAATTAAATAATATTGCTCATCTGTGACTTTTCCTTGCCTTCTAAATCTCAAGTAAGATGTGTCTACATCCAGAAAAGATTTAAACCAATTCTACTCAGGATTTGGCAGACTTTTTGACTTGTTCCTTATATTATTTTGACCACAACTTTTCTATGGGTTACATCAATGCCCTCACTTGTAGTTAACCAATGAGAAGATTGAGTGAAGTTCTAGAACATCTGATTCTCATACTTGTGCTCTTCTGTCTTCTCTTATCTCAGGTCTCAAAATCTTTATATAGCAGCATGGAGATTACAGGAAGAGGATCAGGGTGGAGGGGGATGTAGACAGGATTTGCCTAATCATATATTTTGTGAAAACTTTTGCATCTTACACCTGGGACAGGGTTTTGGAATGTAAAACACTTGTAGTTATTATATTTGCTCTTTATTGTGCTGTGAAACACCTGCTTGAAGAGAAAGGACCTTATGTTGAATACATAGTGCATAAAATAAAATTAGTTCAGTAATACTATGCTTACAGGGCCCTAAATTCAGTCCCCAGTACCACAAGTATAACAACAACAACAACAATAATAATAATAACATCATGCTTCCACACACAGAGGCTCAAAGAGGTACATAACACAGCCAGTGCTCTACAGTTTAGTGAGAAACAAATTTAGAATCTGAACCAAGATCTTTAGGAAGTCAAACCTGTGCTCTTTCCTCAAAGCATCATTACAGCAGATAGATGAGGTTCTCTAAAATATCTTTTCTTAACTTGAAAGCTCTGCTTTCTCAGGTGCTATCAGAAACTTATACACAGGTTGGGAAAATCCAATGGCAAAGGCTGAGTAGCATTTTTTTAATTTAAAGAAAAAAACACAAAACAGTAAAAGGGTACAAGTAATACAGAATTTCAAAAAAAATAAACAGTAAGAAATCACTAGTTAATAGATTACATACTGTCATCTTAGAAATAGTTGATCGAGTTACAAAATTAAGCATACAAAGTAGACATTCAAACAGTGAGACTGCAAACAGTTTTGTTCAATGATCCAACAAAAACTTAGTAATATGATCATCTATCTTACACACCTAAACATACTTGCAGTTGTGTCCTTTAGAGCACTTTCTTTTCCTCTCTTTTTTACAATAACATTTACACTTTCTGAGTTTTATTACAACAGTTCTTATTACTTTTTTTAAGAGAATAAAACCAAATGTGACAAAACAAAGTAGAGTCAGTCAAAACAAAGGATGGACATAGTACATGATATAAAAACAGAATATAAGGTAATCAACAATGGTTACCATAATGCCTCTTGTTACCTTAAAAAGAATTGCCTGTATCATCAGGTATAATAAAATTGAACTAAACAGTATGGAACAAAACCAATAAAACCTAAACATTTGAGACATTACTGAATTTCAAAAGAAGATAATAGTCAAACCAGACTGGGCATCATAGTGAATCTTATTGCCTTCAAAGTAGTTGCCTATACCCTCAAAATTGATAATATCAAACAGAACAGAATAGAGTAAAATCAGTCAAAACAAAATGGTGAGAGCAATATGGGGCTTCAAATTGAGTTAATAGGAAGTCAAAAAAGTTACTATAATATATCCTGCTAATTTTTTGGCTGAGGAGCATTTAAAACAAAACAAAAACAAACAAATAACAATCAATGCTGGGCTTGCAATAGGGAAGCCTGGCTTCACCCACAAGTAACTAAGAATTAAACTACACCTTGACAATTCTCCGGGCCACAGTTCTTCACTAGAAGAGCTACAGAGTAGGAGCAGATAACTGACATGACATTTTCCAGATTTAAAAGTCTTTTACAGAGTTAATTAAGACTACTATAATGAATGATCTCTGGCACTTACAACATAGTTTAATCATTTGTCATCTACAACAGGAAAGAGAATCTCGTTGCCTTTTTAAAATAGACTATGTTTAATAATACTATGATTCCAATCAGTCAGCATCTCCTGTGATCTAGCCAGTTGGAATTTAGGGTGCTGAGCAAGAAAGCAACCTGCCCACCTTCCTGGTAAGCGAAGGCAAGTCAGGAAAAAAAAAAATCTGTCAGCATCTCCTGTGAGCCTGTCCCTCCCACCTAGTTACAAACTGGGGGCCAGAGGTCTGAGCATCTCTTGAGAGGATGACCATATGCAAATAGCAAATATTGGAAATTTCCTTCTGTCTTCTCTTGGAAGGCAAATATAGTTTTCACTGTTTTGCTTTGTTTTGGTTAATTGTTTTGCTCTATTCAACGTTCTGTTTTGGTAAGTTTTATAGTGTTCTGTTTGGGGTTTGATTTCACTATACCTGATTTAATGGACAACTACTGTGAAGATAATGAGATATATTATGGTACCTATTACTATTATCCTGGTGTCCTGCTCTGAAGTTCTGTACCAGTTTCACTGCATTGTCTCAACTGGCTTTGTTCTGTCTTGTTCTGTTGTATTTTACTACCTTCAAAATAATTTTTAAAAGACTGTGATCCCACAAATTGAGATAGATTTGGAGTCATAAAGTTCAGGTATGGCACTGATAATTGGAGCAGGTTTCCTAATTTCTTTTGACATCAAGTTTTATGAGTGGATATTGGGAATGCCTATCCTATGTGCTTATAGGGATTTTGTTAAGATTTCATTTGATGTTCTAGCAGAAAACACTTATTGTAAAATGTTCCAACAATGTAAATTATTTTGACATCATTTTCCTGCCTAAGAGTAAGATATCAGTGTCTTATTATACAGGAGAAACTAACATAGTTGAGAACATAATATAAGAAACAAGAGCAATATCTCAGTTAAAAAGTCTGCCAAACCCTGAGTAAGACTGGGTAAAATTTTTCTGGATATAGACACATCATACATGAGATTTAGAAAGCAGGAACCATGAAAGTCACAAATCAGCAATATTATTTGCTAAATATTGAGGATCTATTAACCAAGAAATAAAACCGAAGTGAAGCAGTTTTAGTAACCATCATTAAAAAAGCAAAGGAGACAACTTTCAGTTTGAAATTCTGTAACCTACCAACCAATCATTAAGACTCACAAAATAAAGACTCGTACGAAATAAAGTCATTAAAATTATAAGACTTTAAAAGATAATGGCTCTATGGTCTTGTTAAAATTACTGCCCATGTAAGAATATGATACAGTAAAGAAACACATATTGATTATACTAAATAATTATAATAATGTTAAGAATATGATTAATAGTGATTTTATTTTATTTTTAGTAAAACGGGAACTAAAATACCAAACAATAATAACTGAAGCAAAGGAGAATTTGGGATAAAAATTAAAACATTCCAAGATCAGATGTTAATTAAATGTAGACTTTATTAGAAAATGTTAATTTGAGTATATGTATTGTCAGAGTATTCTTGGTAATACAAATTTGATATTCCTACACTACAATGAAAAAATTACATTGGAGCTAAACCTTCACCCAGACCGTAGAAAGAAAACCCTTCTGTCTCAGATTCTTTTACCACTTTGGCCTCCTGTACTGACCTGGATCATTCAAGTTTGGGCTCCATCAATGCAAGAAGGAATTTCCCTCTGCCTCCTGCCGTTCTCTTGTCATTCTTCTGCTTGTGGTACCCTTCTTCTCTTTCCTTGCTTGGTCACATGCATTCATTTGTAACTAATTAATTCAGTAAATACTGGATATGACCAAGAGCAAGGGCCGTGGTCTGTGGGTGCAGGTACTGTGAGGCAAAGGACAAAAAGTGAAAAAAGCTCTACAACACTGATCTTATCCCGACCCGTGGAGTTTTCAACAATGACACCTTGCTTTTTTGTGTCTGAGTTCTGAGTTCTTTTTGCTAAGTCTGACCCTGTTTCCCCCCTTCCCACATGCCTGAGTTCCCAAGCTCTGAGAACAATCACAAGCCCGTTTCCTACATCATTCTCTTGGGCAGTGTTTCCTTATTCTGCACTCTGACATGGCAACTGATGACTTTTCTGCTCAGGAGCCCCAACTTGTAGTTAATGTCTCTTTTTTCCACTTCTCTTTTACAAAATCTCTAAGATATGCCAGTGTAGAACCACATATCCCTCATCTCTATAAGCTTGCACTCAGTGAGCTTTAGGACTAATCTGATTAGCATCCCAAGTGGCTTCCAGACCTCCTTTTCCCTTCTTAGGTGTTTCCTGTCAAGAAAACCTGCAAACAGTACAGGGCAACTCGTTCATCTTCCCCCATATGTAAAGTAAAAATCTCAGTTAACTACTTCTTCTTCTTCTTCTTCTTCTTCTTCTTCTTCTTCTTCTTCTTCTTCTTCTTCTTCTTCTTCTTCTTCTTCTTCTTTCTTCTTTTGAGAACACATTCACTTCTTTCTCAGGAAGAAAGATTTTGTTTTCTTTCTTGGAAAAAAATATACTCTAACCCACTTGAAGGCATCTTACCTTTATCAATATAGTGACTTCTCCTGGCTTCCTAAACTTCTCCAAACAGAAGCATATATTGGAACATCTCTGTAAATGGCTGTAAATTCTGAAAAC